ACAGTTCTCACAAAAAGGAATTCTGGAAATGGAATCCTTCCCAAACACCCCCTTTCTTATATAGGATATGCAGACCCTTTTCTCCAACATGAGCTAATCTCTTATGTCACTTTGTAGTTACATCTAGCTCAGTGTTGGAAGACTCAGCTATCCCATTAACCACAATAATAGCTCTATCAACATAAATCCCATTCCTCTTAACACCTTTAAACATGATAAATGATCCTCTCATCACTCTCAATAAAATATCACCCATTTTACCTAGCAAACCTAAATCATCCAAACTGCTCATTGAAATTAGGTTCCTAGACAAATTAGGTACATATCTTACCTTTTCTAAGGTAAAGATATAACCATTATCAAATTTCAATATAATCTCACGTATACCTTCAACTCTACATGTCATATTATTGCCCATAACCACCTCTCCACCATTGATACCAACATCTTTTAGGGGACATATGAAAGGTACAACCTGAGTCTAAAATCCATTCATGGATCAGATTCCCACAATCAACAATATTGCCAGAATCACTATCAAGGGAAGGCTCAGTCACAACATAGATATCAACAGAATTGGAATCACTAGGTTCAACTAGGTTTCCTTCAAGTTGAAAGAATCGAAAGTAGAGTAAGAAGGAATTAAAACAATCTTTTATAAAATGGCCAGTTTTCCCACATCCATAGGACTTCTTATTCCTAGTCTTAGACTTCGATCTATTTCTACCCTTAAACTTCTTCTTACTACTGTTTCCCTGATTGTTAAAACCCTCTTGGTTCCTATTAAACCTATTTTGAGCCCTACCCCTCACAAACAAAACTTCAAATCTACCATTTCCTCTAGTATTCCTAAGCTCAAGTTCACTACTCCTCAGAGAGTTAATGACAATATCAGAAGTCAAAATATCTCTACCATACTTTATGGTAGCCTTGACATCCTGATAGGTATTAGGACTATCATTCAACAACACAACAGCTTTGTATTCATCAGAGACCTTATCACCAGCATTGGTAATGTCTTGGACCAATTTATTAAAAATGTCCAGGTTGTCTTCTATGTCTTAGAGGTATCTAATCTGAAACTAAAAAACCTTTCTAACAGAAACAATTTAATGGGTGGGTTCTTAGCTAGGTTTAGTTTCTCTAACACATCCCATAGGTTAAAGCATTCTCTTGTTTCCCTACTTTCCTTAAAAAACTTGATCAGATAAATGCAAAA